TGTTAGTCAATAAGCTCAGTCTCTGACAATGCTAGAAGAGGAGCCACCTGGCTCCCCCATCTACTGTCAACCACCTTTCTCAATGTCTCCCAACAAGGACACAAATTCAGGAGGCCTCAGGGAAACCACTTTGATACACTAATATTTTTATCCTTCAAATGCTCTAAAATATACTAGCGTATTTAAATGGCTCTAAAATGCTGAGCTATAAAATAATGCTATAGTTTAGCAATACTCCCTTAAAGTGTTTTCAGCAAGTCAGTGTACTTCTGTGTCCACTATTTGGTCACTACTGCAGGAGAATAATATCAGGGCAAAATTCCACCATCATTTGCACCAGGTAAGCCATGGGAGATGCTCGAGTTCAAATGAAGGCAGAATTCCACCCAGGATGCCTACTGCTACTTTATTGAGTGACGTCCAGTGTAAATTTCATCTTGTTAACTACTGCCATGATCCAAAGCCCACTGAAGTCAATGAAAATCTTTCCACTGATTCTAGTGAGCTTTGGACTGGACTTATATAATGCTGCTTTTAACGGGAAGACAAGTTATTCCTTTCCAGACTTGTATTTATTTTTTGCAAAGAACTGTGCAGTTGCATAAGCCTTGTAGACAACCTGCACTGTTCTCTGTCTGCGTAGTTCTACTTTTTGTTAACTGTCAAATACATACCTCCAAATGGCACTAGTAAATGCAGTGAACTAATAGCCCAAACCATCTCGGAAGTTTTTTTGGAAATTATTACTGAAAAATTGATCTTTAAAAAATGTGGCAGTAAGTAAAAATTGAAGCTGTGCTTGCTATTGTTACTGTGCTCTTCCTGCATGAGGAGACATGTAATGGTTTAACAAATCTCTCCAGGATTCCCATGCTGTAACTATACCCTGTGTGTACCGCTGCTTTAACAGTACCCCAGATCCATACATTGAAAACACTGTACATGCACTCAAAGAATAATGAACTGAGGGATAGATTGGAAACAATTGCAATATACGAGGAGGCAGATTGGGCTAAACTGATTTGACTATTGTGTCCAAGGATTCTGTTTTTCCTTTATTAATAAAATGCTTATGAAGATTTTAATAATTATACAAAGTAATAGTAAGTATTATGGGCCAAATCACAAAGTACTTATTCTGTTTTTGCTATTTAATCCTTACTCATGCAAAAGTCTCATATTCTTCATTGGAGTTTTCAATGGAAGTTTTGCCTGAGTGAGGATTTTAAGATTTGTCCCTATTTTGGATCACAATTTTGCCACTCATACTCATGTTATGTAGAACTTCTCCTAAGTAAAGAACTACTTAGCAGGAGTAAGAGTGATGGACTCTAGCCCTCCAGGCTCAAATATATTTTCAATTCAAAGTAATCATCATCGAACCTGTTGAGAAATTTCTGCTTCACAATGACATTTCTGCACCAGATAGTGCAGTCTGAGCATAGAATCTCTCTGTATGTTTCACTGGGAAGAGGGCAGCAGTTTATTTACATATTTTGGGTTGTACCCTGATAACAAAGCAATAGAAAGAGCAGTGTGAAACTAACCTGTTTTTACATGGCCTACTAGATGTAACGAGGAATACGATATGTTAGAATTAGAAACAATAGCGCTTAATTTCAGAACAATGATTGCATCTTAAATTCTCATTTACTTCTCCATCCTTTTTATTTCCATTTTTCTATTGTGCTGTGAAACTGTCTATGGATATGGCTAATAACCCTGCTAAATAACCCTCTCATGAATGGGTGGGGGTTTTGTATTTGTGGGGGGGTTGTTTGTTTGGGGGGTTTTAGGACTTCTATCAAGCAGCTGCAGCTACTCTAAAAGATTATGGAAAACTTTTCCTCACTAACCTTTAATACTTTTAGGGATAAAAGTAGAATACTTGATAAATGAGAATAATGCCCCCCTTCCAGATTGAAATTTAAAAAGGGGTTTAATTCTTCAGTGTCTTTTAAAAAAACAAACGTGTCTATCTTTTATATACAGATTATAGCCAGAAGAAAGATCTAAGTTATATGAACATTAACCTGAAAAATCTTCTGAAATTTGAAGTACTAAGGGCAAAATCCTTATTATTAAGTTGTTACATTTTTGCTCTGTTTTTAGGGAAAATTTTCTCTGAAGTCAATGAGAGATCTTTGCCTGAATAAGGACACAGTAAGAATTGATTAATGACTTCAGGATTTAAGGCTTTTTATCAGTCATAACTGAAGTAAATAGAAAGTCTCCACTTACTTGAATAGGCACTGACTGAGTTCTTAGCCCAGAGAGAATACTGTGGACATGTAATACAGTTTATGTTGAAGATCATAAAGATACTTTTTAGAAACTACAAAATAGCAGCTAAACTATTATGTCTATAGTGGTGCCAAGTCAATCTCATTTAAATAATATGCATGATTCATCTGCAGTTAGGCCTTGAGTCAGCAACGCGCTTAAGCAAGGGGCTGACGCTAAGCACACAAGCAGCTCCATTGAAGTCACAGGCTTAAAGGTAGGCACTTGTTTAAGTGGGGCCTTAATTAGGGCTGCTCCTGAGAGGCAGCTCATTATCCCTACCACACCTATTTAATAAGGCCCAGGCTCTGCCACCCTGGCGTTCAGTAGCACTGTCACTGGCACTACTCTTTTAAGGGCTGAGCAACATGACTCAGGTTTGCAGACTCTGGCGCTATGTTAGACCCTGTTCCTGCTGCCATTGAAACGAGTGCGAATTTTCACCATTGACTTTAATGGCAATAGGCTCGAGCCTTATATGTTAAACTTTTTCAAGACCGAGAGTTTGGTTCAGTATCAAGGAAACAAGGCTGCTGGGATCAGCTTCCATCTTGGCCTCAGTCCTGCAGTCCTCACTCAGGTGAAACTCCCATTCGAGTTAATGGAAGCTTTGGCAATTTTATGAATGTAGAGAGCAATCTAAAAGCACTGTCTTTGTCTCTAAAAGCTTAATTAGAAACCCATAGTAAATATCTCTGGTTTAGAAGCAATTGCTTCCCGGAACAAAAGGGACAAATGAACAATTTCAATCCAATCTTGCTATTTATCCTCTCCCTCTAGATCATGACCCATAATTAGAGTGCTTATATAAAATTACATTTGTCAGACTGGCTGCTAAATTCCCCTCCAAGGCTTTATCCACAAAGAACAGTCTGTTACCACACCCAGTACAGCTTATATTTCTCCTTTTCAGTTTCAGGGGAAGGCAAGCAATTACATTATCTGCATTGACAATCTAATATAAATTTAACTACAATAAAAAGAGGAGCAGGTCACATCTGTTTAGAAATAATTTCCAAAATTTCATAGTTAACCAGCAAAGATCTGTCCGGTTTCCAAGAGGGGCTCATATGAAAAGTCATTTCCAGGCAATAAAGGACAAAGGAGATGTTCTAAAATGGGAATTTACCCAATAAATAGGAATGTATCTGACCCTGTGTGAGGTGGAAAACTCCATGAGTTTGCACTCACTGTGTTTCTAATCTGTTCCTTCAACTCTGGAGCACGGGTGCCCCTTTCCTACTGAGCAGAGGGTTCCACCATCAAACTCAGATGGGATCCCCCTGAGATCCATGGAATCACAGTCATCTCTTTGGAGATCCTGTCCAGCTTCATTCCCTCCTGATATCTCCTATGACTCTTGGCAGCAGGAGTCCTATAGGAGCCCTGCTGCCAAAGAATCTCCCACTTGCTGCTTCTCCCAGACCTTCCTCGCAGGGTTCCACATCAGTGAGAGGGACAGCAGGTAAGTCAATGTCCCCACTGAAGTCCTTCAGAATTAGTGATGGGAAGATGCCATGGACAGAGGAAGTCCCCTTCCAGTCCCTGCCCAGTCCCCACCTCCTTTGCTGGTTAACAGGGACAAGCAATGGGAGGGGGAAGTGGTGCTTCCTCAGCATCACCATTTGTACATGGGGATAATAACATTTACCTTCCTTCCATGAGTGTGGTCAGAATTTATTATTTAGGGATAGATACCTGCTAATCTTTTCACAGGGGCATAGGGGAAGAGGAAGGTAGTATGAAGCATCTCGAACTCACCCCGCCCACATACACACACATCTTGTGCAGTCCATGTAAGGGCTGGCCAGAATTGCAGTCCCTGTGCTCAGGAGATCACGGATCCTGCCCCTGTGGACGTGAATGGTGCCCCAACATTAAATGGACTCATGGCTTCCTGCCCTCACCACATCAGCTGGTAGATCTGGTTGGATGTCTAGGGGGAAATATGCTGCACCCCTTAATGGGAGGTAGCACAGTTTGTGCTCCCCACACCCTAGGAAACCCAGCATATAGGTAAAGTATAAACATGTGACACGTTATTTAAACTCTTATTAATAATATGCATGATTAAATATTGATTTAGCTGTCTAGCTTTAGGCCTTGTGACACACATCAATTCATTATTTAAAACCTCATTAACAAAGATATGAGGCAGTGCATCCTAAACAGCTGTTAAGCCTCCAAAAAGGTGGTGAATGCAGGATAAATGCCTTGATAGATTTAATAATCAACCAGTTTTTAAATAACTGTAGTCCTTAGTTTAAAATAGGAGATAGATTTAAAACCTTTATTTTATAGCACTAACGATAACACTGCCTATCTAAAAAAAAAATCTAGACCCATATTGACCTGTTTCTATAAGTGTTCATATTCAAAACAGACTCAAGCTAACCAGAAATATAAATCCAGTCTGACTTTAATCATTATTTTGCGAAGATGCTCACATAACTCTTTTGGTTTTGGTTCGTAGAATTTATAGAATTTTACTTGCTAAAAGTTGGGTCATTTAAAAAAAAAGTCTGGTGTATTCTGGAAATACTTTTTTTGCCTCTGAAAGTAAGCAAAATTATTTATACTGTCAGGGGGATTGTCAAATGGAAATGAGAGGTTTATTTAGTGTGTGGATCCAGCTTATAAAAGAGCTTAAGTCCTCATTCCTTCTAACATCTTAACAGCTGTGCAGTTTCTTACAAAATATGTTTTATCGTTTCAAGAAATGCTGTTAACCTCGCAGTTTTAAAACTGAATGAACAAGGCCTCTTGGACAAATTGAAAAACAAATGGTGGTACGACAAAGGAGAATGTGGCAGCGGGGGAGGTGACTCCAAGGTTAGCCTCAATGTCACCAAAGCGGGTAAACAGTATGTAAAGTAATTGGTGCATCTGCTGGGGCTTTACCTGCAACCAACCAAACTTCAGTATTGCTAGTCACTGAGCTCAAGATCCAGACAGATGTATGCGATTACTGTCAAAGCAAAAATATTTGCATTCGTTGCAAGTTTCTCAAGTGGAACTTGTTAACAAACCAGTTTAAGCTATGAATTCTATCATCAATGCTCAGAAACCTTCCTCTGTCAAGAATAGATGACATGCGCCCTACGCAAAAAGATACAAGACCACAGCCATCTCAAAGCTAGGTCTAGTGAACAAGCAGCAGGAGACCCAGACTCAAACATGACTCCTCATTTTCTGGACTGCATTGCTCCAATGTGTTTTCCCCTCAATATTAGAGGAAGGTGGAGCAGCTCAGCTCTGCTCCCTCATAGCAGCGGCTCAGGATGTACAGGCTCAGGAATTTTCTATTTATACAAATTTCCATTTCCAGCCAAAGTATCCAATGCACTGATGCAATTTCCAGTTAAAATAGCACACAGTGGAATGTTGTGATACATTACCTGGAAGCTAAAATTCATGTGTATTCCTTAGGAAAAAAGTTAACTGGAAATTGCACCTCTCTCTTATCCTTCGCCATGTCAACAGTGCTGAATTTTAGGCCGTTACTCATGCCCTGGATAAAGTTAACCTACTTTTCCTTCATTTCATCTAAACTGAGACTTTCAAATCGCCAGTCATATAACTTGTTTTGCCTTCTCACATCAGCATCCATTAGGCAAACTAATGTGTGCTGAAATGGCATAGAGGGAAAATTAAGATACTAAAAGTAGCCCTCAATGTGCCAATCAAACACTCTTCAATATATATTTGTGTGCATGTGCGTGTATGGTATATAGAGAGAATACTACATGGGTAACTGTGAAGATACAAGGCTATCTATACTGAGGGGTTCTGGTGACACTGAGGGAACCCAAAATGTTTAATTAGCCTTCTTTACAGTTTCTTACATTGTATTTTTTCTCCTCCCCTTCCTCAACCCTCCTTTCCTGACACTCTGCCCTTGCCGCAGAGACCTCTCCTTGTGCTGCTCCGCACTCACACAGATCTGGTGTCCTAGTCCTCTGTGCTTTGCCTTCCATCCTGCTGCTCTAGCAAGTTTTTTTCCCCACAGCTCTGCTGGCCAGCGGTTACAGTTTTAAAAGTGGTCTTTAGTTTCTTCTCCAAAGTATGTGGACATGAAGTTCATTAGCACTTACTGCAACTGCAGATAACTTCTTGTAAGAAAGCCTATCTGATAAGCCATAAAATTCTGACTTTCCCCCTTTTTTTTATTTTTTATAATACTCCATCCAAGTCACCACTGGGCTGAAGTTTCACTCGTGAAACTTCACTGTTGGGCTTTTTAAAAAAATACTATATAATATAATATTATAGAAATGTCATGGAGGTCATACTACACTTGTGAATGAACACTTTTTTTTCTATAATGTAGCTGAATCATCCCGAAAAATCTCAGGAAAAACTTCCTAGCTGTAGGAACAGTAGGACAATGGAACAGACTGCCTCAGGAGGTTGTGGAAGCTCCTTCACTGGAAGTTTTCAAAAGGAAGCTGGAGAGCCATCTGTCTGGGATGGTTTAAACACAACAATCCTGTGTCTTGGTGGGGGTTAGACTAGATGAATTTTGTGATGCCTCTAACCCTATGATTCTATTATCAGTTTGAAATATAAAACACAAAACTATGCTTAATGTTTCAAATCAGTATAATGAGATGATTACCTTAGAACTCTATTTGCCTTAACATCTGTTATTAATAACCCTGGTAGATAGGGACCACATGCAATGAGGTAGAGGAGGGCAGCCGGCAGAGGGAAAAGCAGGATGTCCTAGGATATCACAGGGAAGTGACTGCATAAGGAGTGGCAGGAAAAAAAGCAGTAGTCGGGAAGGAGAAAGCTAGGAATGCAGCTACATGAAGTAAGGTACAGGTCCTGCATGCCCAATGAGAACAGAAAGTGAGTAGGGACACATTGCACGGGGGAGTGTAAAAAATGTGACACAGGGAAAGTTGAGACTGCTACATCACAGTAGGAAGGATGGTGGATAAAGGGAGTATTATCAGGGATAAACAACATTGGGGGGTGTAATATATAAATGCTGCATAGCTGCAGCATCTGTTTTCTTAAAAAATACAGATGCCTGAACTCTTGACTGGTTGATATAAATGTTTTATTGACATTTATCATCTACAGAATTCCTTGTTTTGAAGTAAATCTACACATCCACTAATAATCTTATGGGGTCTGATCCACTGATCCACAGACTGGTAGTCTTTTTATTGATTTCATTGGTCCCTGGATAAAAGCTTTTATATTTTTTTGTTTTTGTTTTTGCTCTCATATGATCAAGTTAGCAGAACATACTGAACAGTACCACAGGTTGTTCTGCTGTACTGCTAACTGCTACAAACAGTAGTTCAAGTTCATGAGTCAGGCCCTTAATCAGAGTCCCTTTTGTGAGCTGTATAAAATTTAAAAAAATGATTGGATTGAGTCCAGTTCTAGATTACAGTATGCTACAGTCTCCTTGATGAGATTAACAACCTCTCCCCCACCATGAAAGCAATACAGCACTCTAGGCGTACCTGGCCAAACTGAGCTGTGCCCTCTGATATACAGCCAACCAGCCAGCACACACAACCCTAAACCCAAAGCATTTCTTCATGGCCATGCCTAGAGACACGCTGTAATCAATTTAAGTTGCTCAGCAACTCTCAGAAGGCTTTTAGATCTTGTGAAACCAGGCCCTTGCAAACTCCTAGATCCAGTCTGTGCTCTTAAACTAACAATTAGTATATAGTATGGCTGTACTAGCCCTCACCATTTTTGTTTTAACCCCAGCTACAAAAGAAAAGGTCTCCAACAATTCATAAATATAGTTCATTAGTATTTAGTGGTTACCAGTTCCCTTCAAGAACTCCATGTCACTAATTTATAGCTCATATTGACTATCAATAAGATTTAGTGCTAACGTCATTTTTGAAAACAGTAATTAGGTGCTTTTGAAAATAATAACCCAAGTCTTAAACATATGCTGCCACAGGTGTATCTGATAACATTAAACTTGTTTAAACATAGTTTTTGCTATTTAATTTCCATTTCTTTCTACAAAAGTAGAAAACATTGACCAATAACAATAAAACTGGCTCTCTAGTTCTGTTTTCCACCCACATGCTAATACAATGTTCCTCTTCTTTCATTTAGTGGATGGGATTGGCCTTATGACTAATTAAAGGCCTACTCACAAGTGGCTAAGGAGAGTGCTCCTATTGCATAGCAATTATCCCCCTCTTTGAAATTTTGCAGTGGTTTTAGAACTCCGTGCTGTAGTTCTTACTGCTGCATGTGCCCATTAGCACAGTGTTGTATGATATTAAATTAGGATCATTTTTCACAATTAAATTATTCAAGTTTTATGGCATTATAATTTCAATTATGTTACCAGCATAAAAATCAGGGTCTTAGCCTTTTGAAAATAGTTCCTCCCATCAGTAAATGAGTGAAGATGGAACAGGAGAAAATGACAGGAAAGCCAGGTGGGGAGGTGGAAGTTGGTAAAATAAAAAATAAAGAATGTCTTTAATTGCATATTATTCTTCCTGGCCCCTATCCTCCGGTCAGTACTTAAACAGCACTGCCACTGATTCTAAATTGTCTCACTCTGACTGTTGGACTGGAGACTTGGATCTTCTTCACTATAAAATCCTAAAATTCTTATGATATATAGTATATGCAATGTGACTATTTAGATAGTATGGGACAAATTCTGCTGTGTTACTCCAGATTCACACTTCTGGAAATTAGAGCACAATTTGCTCCTAGTACTGCATGTGCAAGTGAAAAATTTATACCACCCCCAACATAAATAATGGGTCACATCTTCAGCTGATGTAAGTTGACTTCAATAGAGCTACACCAGCTTACACTGATAGAGAATCTGGACCAACTTTTTTAACTTGAGTCCCTAACCATGTTTTAAAAAAAAATCATATTATCATTTGGCAATAAAATGTACAGTATACAGGACTGAACTTGGTGGAACATTTAATTCCAGACGACTTATCCATTTTATGTTTTTGTACCACCCTTATCTAATATGCCATAAATCATATTGACTTAGATTCTGCCACCCTTAAAATCAATGGAGCTACTTACTAAATATGTTTCTACTCAATGTGGGAAAGGTTGGTAGCATCTGAGTGTTTGACAGGTGTGGTTAGAAAAAGGTAGGGTTTGAAGGAGAGATTTTCAAACAAACAAAGGGTTGCAACATACTCAATTCCCACTGAAAGCCAATGGGATTTGGACACTTAACTCTTATTTCTGCCTAAAATGTTAAAAACAAAACCAAAAAAACGTTATTCTTTATGAATTTTGGTGAAGAACTAAAATATATACTAACTGTAGTCTGGTTTTGATAGAAATTTTGCAAGCCTCTAAAGTTCCATTTAATTTTGAATGTGTTTTTAAACTCAGTCTCTCAGATCACTTTTAAATCTTGAGCTTTTCTTCCTACCTTTAATATCTACCTATGATATCACATGTGGCTTATTTAAAGATGGACACAAATACAATTTTAAAAATATCAAACATTTTTAAGTTCCCAAAGTGTCTACAGTATTTAGTCATGTGCCTTAGGAAAGGCTTAAGCTCAAGATGGTGCTGTTTACATAAAAACTAAAGGGCCAAATTCTGTCTCATCCACACACACAAAACTCCCATTGAAGCCATGTGCAGTGGATGGAAGTGTGTAAGGGCAAGCTTGCCTTAGCAGCTGTAGACTATTGATAGGGCAAGTGGCTGAATAGAAAGAGCAGTGCTAGAGAACACTGAAACGTGACCTCTCACACAGAGCTCACTGACTGCACTGCTATGGAGCAAATGAAATTCTGCCTCTATCCTGCCCATTGCAACCGGCTACATAATACAGAAGGCTGGTTAACGTGCAAATGTAATTTTCCCGTTAGAAAGTAAATCATGAAATCAGTTGTTTTTCTCAATGAAAAGAAAACCTGAATGTTCCCGCCAAAGCACTGTGTATGCAGAAGATGCCTATGGGAGCAGAAAGGATGATACAGATGGATCAAGAGTGGGTGGGAAAGAAGAAAGAAACTCAAAATGTGGCAGGCGTTAGGCAGCTTTATGTTCCTAGATTCTGAATGCTTGTGCTGAAATATCAAGCAAAAGAGTGGAGAAATTACTACTGACTCCCCCTACACACAGGTAGCCACTGTTCTTGACAGCTCATATACATAATTCATTAATATCTAGCTCCTAATTTTCATCTTATTTAAACCAGTTGAATCTGGAATAACTCCACTGACTTCCGTGAAGTTGTTCTGGATTTTCACGGTGACAACAGAACCTGGCTGTCCCTTCTATGTATATCCTGTGATGTGGCTGGGGATAGAAAGATTCAAATGGGGCACTGAGCCAAAACATTAGTGGTGTTGGACAATAGCTATCCAAGCCATATTACAATGTCAGTTATGTCACACCTGTAGCAGAAGCAAACAGAGATCATATTAAGAGGCAGCTTGCCAGCATCCCAAACTGCCACCCACTAATTTTAGTTTTCTCAGCCGTGATAATATCTGACTCCACTTGCAACCTGCACAGCCTGCTGCCAGGAAGCCTGACAATAAAATGTAAGTTTAAATACTGAACAAGATCAAACAATATATATTTTTTTTGTAGTAGTATCAGTGTGTTCTGTATGAACTTAGTGGGGTTGAATTTGAAAGCATACAAAGTATTGTATTTGCTTATAGAGATCATTACAGAGTATATGGAAATGTATTGAAGGTAGTCCATATGAATTAAAGGTCATGATCCATAGAGCTAACATTGGAAGCCTGAATTATTATTTATGTTAATATCTAAATATATTTCTTCATGAGAATTCCGAGAAATATAGTTAAATCAGTTACATAAACATAATTCGAGCATGACTAAAACCCTTTTTCTTTTATAGTAATGCTTTTAATAGTGTCATTCATTTCTGACATAGTGTCACTAAACTAATTAATATTTCAGTTGTTTTACAGTTATTAAAATTTTAAATCATGCATTTATAAATTATCATTTTAAAAACACTATGGGTTGTAGTACGTTACATGAAGAGTTCCATCAGAGGAATCTGGTGATACCTTAAACACACAAGCTCAAGTTTTTTATTGTATATCGTTACCAGAACATGTCGATGCTATCATTTTCTGATATCTAAGAGTAGCCCATCTATTATATAGTGTTTCAGGTTTTCTGCCTCCCTCTCTGGTATACACTGTATATTCATACACACCTGCACATAAATACGTATCTATATGCGGGTCAATGTTTTGAGAGGGAAGGCAAATTAAAATTCTCATAACCAATTATTATTTCAGTTGTTTTCAGGATAAACTGCCCCAGTGGCATGAAGGGTGAACATTAGTACAAGACACTGGAGCTTTTTAAAGGAGTTTTGGTAACTTCAGTGTAACTCCACAGCAGCTCATGACGTTGATGCAATGGATTATGTTTTATATGAAGACTAAACTTGGTTGGATTGTCTTAATCAAATACATAAGTAGGAGAGCAGGTTCCAAGCAATAATTTATTATCTCACTGGAACCAACTCACTAAATAAGTGAGATTTAAATAAAACCCAGATTTTATTTTCCAGGATCAACAGGTCAGTCCAAATGATATTGGATATGGAAACATGTACTAAGGCTTGACAGTCATTTTCCTTTATTCTGAGGTTAACAACATTAGGACCTCATCCTGTAAGTTCTATGCATGCAGAACTACTGCTGCAGTCAATAGGTTTTCTGCATGAAGGATGTTTATAGGTTGTGCCAATTAATACTGTAAACAAACTTCATGAGAATTAAAATTTCACTTATCTGTATCACTGTGAAGGCAGTAAATGAACTAGCTATGGCCAAGTTGTATTCTATATGAGTGTGTGCATGTGTATACACACACAAACTAAAATAAATTGAAAGCCAGGAACACAAAAGTCTTCTATCCAATCTCATTGTACTGAAGACATTTTAAATCTCAGAATATGTTGTTAATACTGATAAGCCAATAGTTTTGGGTTCACAGTAATTGCATACTAGTTATTTAAAAATCTTCCCCAGCAGTATGTGCCTGTTACCTAAAGCGATGGAGCAGGTCCCAGTCATATGTCTGTTTCTAAACCTGGGCCTACAGTACATGACATAGCACCCACTGTGGCCTCTGCTCCGTCACTTTGCAATGCGATTCTATGTAGTTTTACTTGAATAACATAAAATAACATATATAATGTTATTTATGTTATTTTCCACGTGAAGAACTCCTGTAAACCTTGCCGTTTTGAAACTCAGTGAGGCAGGCGTCTTAGACAAGCTGAAAAACAAATGGTGGTACGATAAAGGTGAATGTGGACCCAAGGACTCTGGAAGTAAGGTCAGTCGCTGCAGTTCGGGACCTACTGTTGTGTTCACAAAGCAGTAAAGGGAGTAATGAACAAAATGACATGGAAATAAAATAAATAGCTGTAAACACTCGTTAAAGGATCAGCTAAAAAAAATGCTTCCCCCACCCTTCCTCAAATAGTTATGTGCCCCACTTTAATTTAAAGAAGCACTATTACTCTTCCAGGTTTTCAAATGAGGTTGGTGTAAAAAAGAAAATCATTGTTTCTTTCCTTTTGAAATGTAAATCACGTCCCATCTTCCTATATTTTTAAGGGTAATTGAAGAGCTGCAAGGTGAGTTATTTTTCCTCTATGTGGGGAAAGCCTCTTTCCATTAACTGCTGTGCAATTTATCCCTTTCTCCATTTGTCCTTCTTATTTGGGAGATGTCCTAGCTGAGTTGTTTGTTTATATTCTGTGAAGGTGAACACTCAGGCATTCAACACAACAGCCTGGCCTGGTTGTATAGGAGAAGGGCTCCAAGAAACAGGGATGGAGCTAATGTGAATTCTGGGGTGAAAGGGCTTTAACTTTTAGTACTCTTCTTCCTATAACTCCCAGTATATCATCTCTGGGTTTCAAATCCCAAGCGCCCCCTTACCTCACTGCAAGCCCCAAAATTAATCTTCCCTAAGAGTCTTAGGGAGTACATCCTCCCCTTCCACTTCTCCTGGGAAGAAGGATTTCAGAAGCATATTCTTCTGCCCACTTCAAAGCCCTCTCAGTTAATTCCCATCATGCATTCCCTTATTCTGGGAAAGGTGACCATATTTTCTGAAAGCGAAAATGATACACGGCCCGGGGATGGCCCGAGGCCTCAACCCCACTGCCTACTTGCACATTGGGCCGGCCCAAGACCCCTGCTGCCAGTCCAAGTGAGGCTGGCCTGGCCTGAGCCGCTTTCGCGAGCCCTCCCTCCAGCACAGGGCTGGCATTGCCAATTGCCCCTCCTCCCCCTGTACATTCTTCCATGCCCCACTAGGGGTCATACCCCACTTTTTTGGAAAAACTGGGCATTTGTCTAATTTGCTTATGGTAACTGATGATCAGTTGGCAAGAGCAAATGGGACAAATGCCCAGTTTTGCCAAAAAAGTTGAGACAGCCAGGACAGGGCTTAAAAAAGGGACTGTCCTGGCCAGAACGGGATATATAGTCACCCTAACTCTGGGTATCTCAGAAGTTTTCTCCTAGCTCCTCTTTCTACCTCCCAACCTTTGCCCAGAGCCTAAACAGGAATATGAGAGGCATTGGCTGGTTGCTGCTTCGTAACACCAAGAGTGACCCCTAAAGGCCAGAGGGAAAAATTAAAGTGAAAATGAGTTTGCCCCCTTGTTTTGTTCTACATGGCAAGTGAAATTTGAGGAGGGAGTTTAAACCCACCAAGAGCAATGCAGCCCCTACTAAGGCAGAAACGTCACTATCATTATCACTGTATGTGACAGCTTAGGAGGCTTTCACCTAGCACTTATTTTAGGCCACCATTTCCCCTCAATAAAATCTTCCTTCTTCTTGGCCACAAGCATCATGACAACAACTGACCTGCCAGCAGAGAAGAATGGTACAAGCGTATGCCAGCAGCCAGCCACAACCTGGATTCATGTCTAGGTCTCCTGTGCATCAACAGCAGTGTTATCTTCTACTTGTTGAGGCATTAAGCCCACATCAAATAGTGCATCTTTAAATTAAACATTTCTACAAGTAGTGTTTAGTCTTCATCATGAATTAAACTTTCATGCAGTTACAAGAGGCTAACCACTTTAGCTTATAAGACAGAATTTTATAAATATCTTAATGCAAGCAATGTAGTATGTCAAAGTCCAATTCTGAATAAATCCTTGGTCTAGAGACTTGTGCTGAAAAATTATGCACATCATTTTCAAACCCTAAAATACCAGACTCATTAAGATTTTTGCCAGAACCAGACTGAAATGTGCAATAGATATTTGCTCTTTTAAACCCATTAAGGGGAACATATATAAAATAACACCTACTTAAGAATACTTCACTAAAAGGGATAAGTATTGTTTTCTACATTATTATAAATACTTAGAACTAACTTCTAGTCATAAATTAATTTATCATTAAATAATTCTATTAATAGAATTTTGTATGTAACAAATCCATTACCATGGTACCAAAAAGATATAAAATAAAGTAAAAATAAATAAACAGTAGTGACTAAGGTAGTATGGGATATATTTTATGTTAATGAAATGTGGTTTTGCTTTAATTAAGAAAGACAGCTTAAGTGTCACATACTTTAAGTATTTATTTAATTAGCTGAAAGCCAGGCTGGCTGAGTCTTTATAGCGATGCATATCAAAAGTGAACACTATGTGTTAATAAAATTATGCAGAGTCCCATTTGACGTAAATGGATTTTTGGATTAGAAAGCTTTTAAATGATCATCAAATAAATCTAGTTTCATATTGCTATTAAAATTTTCATTAAATAGAGGTAGATAGATCATTGTTTAAAGTTATAAGTAATGGCAGTAGCATTTCACAGCTGTTAGCGAGTGACTGATTACATCCTAAAGTAATGATTTCCATGTTTGCCAGGAAGAAATGGCACTTAATATATATTTTATAAATTCAGATAGGCCGATTTTTTTGTGAAGAACTGTGTAAATGACTGTCAGTTAATTTCAGTTAAACCTCTTTTATGTATGTTTTCAGTGTATAATGTGTAGCTTTTGAACTCCCAGTGTCTGACGTCAGTGGTTAATTCTACCGATTCTGTTTCCTCAGGACAAGACGAGTGCCTTGAGTCTCAGCAACGTTGCTGGAGTCTTCTACATTCTGGTTGGAGGCTTGGGCTTGGCCATGCTGGTGGCTTTGATAGAATTCTGTTACAAGTCCAGGGCAGAGGCGAAGCGAATGAAGGTGGCAAAGAGTGCACAGACTTTTAATCCAACTTCCTCGCAGAATACCCAGAATTTAGCAACATATAGAGAAGGTTACAACGTATATGGAACCGAAAGTGTTAAAATTTAGGGGTAGGACTTAGGGCCTACTACAGTGAGTGGGTGATGCATCTTGTAATGCAGTGTCGTGACCTGTCTGTCCAGTGGTGGTAATGCTTGCTTCTCAACAGAGCTTTATATTTTGGAAAACTTCAGTGCAAAGTGGTTCCGTTTTTTTGGCTGCAGATGTACAGTATACTACTCTATGTTGCTAATAGACATCTGCATTGCAAATGCTTTTTTAATATGTAAAGAATATCTTCTCTTTTTAAAAAAAAACCAGTTTGGTCTTACTGTATCAGTTGGGACATTACAGCTATTTGACATTTTAGAAACTAAAGCAAAAATAGAGTCTTTCTGTAGAGGGAGCTGCAGCTTGTTTGGGTTACTTCGCTGGCCTACTTTTCTGAGGGCTTTTATTATTATTGATTTACTATTTATTAGCCCTGTTTGTAGATTTTTATAGGGATTATAATCAAGATTGGGTTAGGTAGCACCTCAGTAAGCCATAGTCAAAGCTTTAGGGAGAGCAAGCACTGTGATATGATTCTAAATGTGATTCATCTTTTTTCCCTACCCTCCACCCCTCTCCCTTGATGAATGGAATTGGATGCTATTTTAGCATAGCATTTGTTTACTAAGTCCTGCCTTGGGTCAACCCTTGTCCCATTGCAATAACTATAAATAATGCCAATATTGCTAATGGAGTTTAGAGATTCACATCAGTTTTCAGCAGACTAAGACTGACTACCCCTTTTTCCTGCTGAGGAGCAATAGCTTTTAGATGTAAATGTAGTGATTTCAGTGACTGAAATGTTAATGGTGTTTAGCCTATTATGATATAGCACGACAAAGTAGGTGTGCGTGGGTGGTTTACTAATATAGTGAAAGAGCTGGTCTCTGCAGTGTGAACCTGGCTATCTAACTACTCCTGAGATCAGCACTAAATCCTTTTTAAATGGCATATAATAACAAATGGAACTTGTATATTATTAATATTAATATTATTATTATTATTATATAGTGTCCAAGGTATACTAGATGCTTTATAAATTAATATGCAGGTAGGATTGCTGCCTCCTAGTTGTTGCAGTCTAGAACTCTCAGTCCCATTCCATTAGCAAACCAGATTATTCCAATTTTGACAAAATGTTCTTTTAAAATAGATTCTTCTGGAATCATAGAACTATGATGAGAATGAAACTTAAGTAAAGGGGTGTGAGAAGTAGATTTGGAATTTAAATTTTATTTTGCCACCTAGAAAGATTTAACAGGAAAGAATTGTAGATAAAATTATTATTATTTTTATTTATTATTTGTATAGCGCTGGAGCACACGGCGCTGTACAATAGGTGAAGTGTGCCAAACAAATAACAGTTCCCTGTCCCGAGGAGCTTACAGTCTAAAGGCACAGCCGGTACAATACAGAACAATACAATACAGAACAAACACAGAATGAACACAGAATGGTGTATGGTCATTATAGCTGGAACGCTTCAAGGAATAGGTGGGTTCTCAGGGGTGTTTTCAAGAAGGTGAGGGAGGGGGCTTGGCATACATTGATTGGGAAACTTTTCCAAGCATAATATTTGTTTGTAGATTTCTTAGTGTTCCCATTTATTATTCTATATACACGCAGACATTTCCTTGCTATATTTTAATCATAACAGGGGCCTAGTTTCCCAATGATACAAAAGTGATTTATGCACCTAACTCTCATTAGTGAGAATGTGAGTCATGCACATTAATCCATAAACACAGAAAGGAGATCAATCCTTTAATACAAATCCAAATGTTGATAACAATCTAGCCTAGATTTGACTGTCCAGGTTACTTCAATGTGGCAAAACCACTGTGCCCAACATTAACAGTTGCTGTTAGATCAGAAGGCTAAGTAGTAGATGTCAAGGTGACCCCAACTGTTTAGGGTAATGTTCATTAACCCTGTGACACCAGGAGTTAGGATTTCCATATGCCAACATCAAACACTGTACAAGGTTCAATGCCAACTCCCAGAACTAAAGGTTTTAAAAAAAATCATGTTGTGAATGTAATTAGACAAAATGCAGATGAAAAGCTTTTTACCCCTGCATTCCCAAGTGGTTTGCCCAACACTGAGCATGTTCTCAAGCTATTGCAGGGAACAAGGGTGTGCATGTCAAATAGGTAAGCAATGTATTATAATAATAATAACAATTAATATTTAATATAATAATACATGCAATTGTTCTTTTTAAAATGGGAATAATGAAAATTCATTTCAGGGACTTATAGGTGAAGTTACACACCATTAACTGTATTGTTGTTACTTAACACAACAGTACACCATGCAGGAGTAATCACACCGGTACCATATTCCTAATCAAACTCACAAAGCAGGATGCACCCAAAATGTATTCTTAAAAAATCCCAGCTCCCACCCAAATACTGACCTGGCCCAAAGTCATTTAGCATGTGCAATATGGCAGGATAATGCAATATGCGGTATGACTACTCCACTGGTAGAATTTATTTAAATCCTTGTTTTCCATTTTTTCCCCCTAAACAAACAAAACCAGAATTAGAACTCATCAAATTTTTTTGAAAGAAATTTCTTCTTAGTCGAAAATGTTCTTTTTTCAAAAATGAATAGTCACCATTTTTTCCAAGTATTTAGATTTTTTAGAATTTTTTTGCAACATTTTTATCAATTTTTAATTGAAATTGTTATTGAAACAATAGCATTTATTTTCTCATTTACTGAAAACTTGGGTTTACATAAATTAATTTTGCTAACCTTTTTGATAATGATTTCAATAATATTTAGCTACTTAAAACTATGTTAAATCCCCAAAAAATGAAAACTTTTTGAACCCTATGAAAAACACCCTCATAGTTTCAATATTTTTCAACTAGCTTATTCTGCTCGGGATATTTAATATAATACTTGCCTAAGAATTTTTATCAAGTTCGTATGTATTTTAAACATTTCTCAAACAGAATATGTTTATACCTAGAAGACCATTGAGGCTAGTTGAGATCATTGAACTCTTTGGTAAAATATTATTATTCCGTCCCCCAATTACACATTCCTAATGAGAATGTCTGTTAAGTGTTAGCAGCCTACAGCCTATGACTATGATTAAATACATTTCAGATTCTCTCCCGGAGAGAGCAGTCATACATGTGTTCACTATTCATTTCAGAACCTCATCTGTGCTCATTTAACCAAAAGTAAGTAGATCACTTTAGGACGATGGTCTGCCAATATATTAAAAAACAAACCCTCCATGGAAGTTATATGAGGTAAATGCCTGCATGAAAACCCAGGAAGTTTCCGTTTTTAAGCCAATATAAAATATCTAATTGTGACTGTTCTAAAATATATTAATTAAAAAGGGGGAAGATCTTACACCACCTTAGCTGTGAGCCAGAGAGTCTGAATATGTAGGGCTAGATTGTGTCTCTGGGTTACAGCCATTAGTAAGAGGCGACATGTTGCTGTGCCACTGCAGGGGCAGCACAAGGAGGGAACTGTGGTTTAGGGACCCACAATTAAAAAAAAAACAAAAAACTGTGAATGTCCTGAAGATCTGGATCCTGGTTCAAGTGCCTCTCTCTCTCTCTCCCCAACCCCATACTTTTGGTTAATCTAATCAATTATTATACAAGTGGCCAAATGCTACAGCGGGCATAGGCAACTTTTAGCAGCATCTTTATTGCATTGATTTTGCACTTTCCATTTTCAGTTTCATGTCCAAATTAGAAAATGGGGTGCACAGTTTGCCTTTAATATTTTTGGAAAGGAAATGACCATATTGCCCAGATACTACTAATAGTCAGGGTTGTGTAAGAACCTGAATGGAATAAAATATCCACCCGATATTAAAGGTCCAATGCTCCAAGATGCTGAATGTTGTCGACTTCCATTTAAGTCAATGGGAGTAGGGCACTCAACATCTCACAGGAGACACAACACCTTGTAGGATCAACACCTTAAAGAGAGACTTTCAGACACACAGTCTCAGGATTTAACTGCAGTCTTCTTATTTACTGTTCATGGTTTTTATATTTTTTTCTTACTACTTTTGCTACAATAATTACCAGGGCTTCTTCCCTCCCAGCCCAACTTCTCCTCCTAATTGATTCTGCAGTCAAGCCATGATGTTGAATTTGTGACAACACAATCAAGAGATGATTAGCCCTTCACTGTACCTGTGTTTTTAATTATGATATGATTCAGAAGCTGCACTAGTTTCCTTGCTCAATGGTCTCCTCGTGGTGATGAACAAATGTCTTGTACCATACTGATTTCATTAGCTATTTCAGCTGTTTCCCATTAGGAGTTGTTGGTCCATCTTTGGTCTCTAGTGGGAAAGGACACTTTTTTTTCAGAAGCTTTGTTCTTCCATTCCAATCTCGGAAATTGTTCATCATCCCCAAGGGCCTAGGAATCCACTAGGTTCTATTTTGTTACCCTTCCTGTTCAAAGTGTATGTGAGGGGCTAGAAAAAACAGTGAGATGGTTTGGGCCACAAAATCATTGGTACATGTAAAATATGAAGGTGGTCCTTATGTCTTTTTTTCTTTATCCCTGGATTGGTAAGTCTCTGTGCTTCCCTATTTCATGACCATGGTAGGGTCATGGATTGGAAAACTGGCTGAAGTTCAATCCAAACAAGGTGGAGGTGGTTCTGGTGGATAGGGAGATGTTTCTGGAAAACTTGTCAAGAATTATGCCAGTTCGCTCTTTTGAGAAATATGTACTCTGTTTGTCAAAGAGATTTGAAATCTAGGGCTTATTTTGGACCTTACCAGCTACAAAA